GGGAGGGCGAGGCCGCGTGCTCTCTCGCGAGACTCGGCGAGTACCGGGCCGTCCGTGGCTTTCTCTGCGGTGGCTTCGGGTACGGTAGACGAAGCTGCTCGCCGGCTTTCGCTCCGGTGGAGTTTCGGAGAGACGGAAGTTTCTTCAGGGCACCCAGACGCCGCGTGGCGAGCTCTCATCCCGCCTGGTGACGCTGACTGCGGCCTCCGCCATTTCTAGGCAGCCAGTACTTTGTCACGAGCCCGGTGTCTTTGTAAGCGGTCGCCTGGTAGCTCATGGCCAGCTGCCAGTCATCCGCGGGTCACGTAGCTCTCGCTGTCGTGCCAGAGCAGCAGCATTGCCTACCGAGTGTCACCCCCAAAGGCTGCTCCTCCAGGAAGCGCTGGGACTGTGTCCCAAAAACTTGTTTCTCCTTCCTGCCGGGTCCAACTCTTTTCAAATGGCTTGTTCCGGGCTCCCAGTTTTCAAGATGCCACTGGACACTAACAAGTCCCAAGTGCCTCTCTACAGCACTGTCAACTCCAGTTTCTGAACAGCGATCGTCTGTCTCTCCGTTCGGATGCCAAACTGACATCTTAAAACGGTGTCCAAAGCTGTAGCTGTGCTCGGTTGTACTACAGACTCGTCCCTCTAGAGTTGTTCTCTGAGGTAACTGGCACTGGAACCGTTTACTTAGCCACGAAGCCCCTAACCCTCGATTTACATCTCCTTCACCCCCACATCTATCCTAACTGTAAATCCTGTCTGTTCAGTTTGGATCATCTCCATACAACTCTACAAGAAGCCTCCATTACTCTGGCCAGAATTATTCGCAGTAGTCTCCTAAGAATAATCTACTTCTCTTATTCCTAGTATGTTTTTCCTAGCACAGTAGCCAGAGCATCATGTTCAGGTAGCAAGGGATGGTAGACTCTTGTTCAAATCAATTCAGATGACATCTCTCCTCTCCAATACTCTCCACAGATTACATGTTACACAAAACGAAAACCAGACTGCTTATAAGGACGTGGATTTAGCTTCTTGTTACACAACTCCATACTGTTCCAAGCATACCTTCTTTACCCAGAGTTTTCACAATTCATTACACTCTGCTCAAAGCCTCCCTGAGATGATTTGTTTACAATACAACCACAGCCCTCATTTTACACCCCTCTACTTGGCTTGTCCCCACCCCCGTTCCTACTATGTCTAATCATAGGTGTGTGTCTAACTCCTTCACTAAAATGCAAATATTTTGAGGAAGGGATGTTGTTTTTGGTCACCGCTTGCGTCATCAGGGCCAAATGTAGCAACTGGCACAGGGCAGCTGCGCTGTAGATTTTTGCTGCAAGAATGAACAACTGGGGTGACTGCAGAGCTCAGGCAGCAAGCAGGATGTCTGGTGAGCTGAGTGAATGCATGGTGATTATCTGGGTGTTCAAGTGGGGATTGCAAGAGAGGTTAATGAGCTGTGATGTGATTGGTGCACAATAGCTTCAAGGTCCCTGCTTCAGTACAAAGTCAGTGCCAGAGTGTGCAAAACTTATGTTTGACTTTCCTTCCCATTCTAGGCCTCAGACCGAAGTTGCCTTCTCATGCGTCCACAGTGAGCACATTCTTTCCATGGTCAGGTTTTACAAACTGACAATATCCAATACTCAAATCTCCCTTCCACACCTCCTGGCTTCTAGTACATACACCACACACACAAACATACCACCCCATGACTTCTGCCTCCTCCATTGGTTTTTCTTCCATTGTGCTGGCTGGTGATGAAGCTCAGGGCCTCATGCATATTAGGTAAGTGCTCCAATACAGAGCTATACCCCCTGCCCTAATTACATAGTACATTTAATTGCCAATTTGATAACTTCTCCATTACTGCATCTACCTCCTCTTCCTCCCCAAATAAACTGCCTTTATCCATGGCTCCTAAGGTCATCAGTGTCCTATGACTTGTGTTTGTTATGATTTGAATGTATCTCCTGATAACTCCTGTAAGATTTAGTCCTCCCTGGGGCAATATTGAGGAATAGTAGTGTGCATGCATGTGTTTATGTGGATACACACGTGCCATAGCACCCAAGGCGAGAGGACAATTTGCTGGGAGAAATCAGTTCACCGTGTGGATTCTGGGAATCAATCTGAGGCCATCAAGCTTAGCAGCAGATCGCTCTTACCCACTGAAGTCCTCTTGCCAGCTGACAAACAGCAGAAGTTATTGTTGTTTGTTTGTTAGATTTGAGACTGGCTCTCACTCTCTAACCTGGCATCCTACAAGTGTAGACTAGGCTGGCCTTGAACTCACAGAGGTCTCCCTACCTATGCCTCTCAAGAGCTGGGAGGTGGGGCTTAGTAGTAAGTCATTGGGTTATTAGAGGCTTCACGCTTGGACGAATGGATGAGTGCTGGTCTTGAGAAGTTCTTTGAAGAGGAAGATGTTACAGAAAGAGCAAAGCTGACTTCTCTTTACCCGCTGTCTGGCTTCCTGTCTCACCATATTGTTGCTTCCCTCTTGAATGTGCTATATGCTCTCAACTATGTGACTCATTTGTGGAGGTGACATCTCTCACAATCAGATAAATAAATAAGACAACCGATCTTGGATTTGCGGGCTTCAAAAGTGAGCTTAACAAATCTCCATTTGCCTTTTTTGTTGTTTTTTGACACAGGGTTTCTCTGTGTAACAGTCCTAGCTGTCCTGGAACTAGCTCTTGTAGACCAGGCTGCCCTCGAACTCACAGAGATCCGCCTGCCTCTGCCTCCCAAGTGCTGGGATTAAAGGTATGCGCCACCACCGCCCGCGCTACCACCACCCGGTTCATATGACCCTATCTTAAAACCAAAACCAAAAACATAAGAGGAAAGATAGGTCAATATAGTACCCAGTCTTGAGAACAGAGATTCTTATCTTGGTACTTAGCAATCAATCTTGTTAATTCTACTTTATATTTTACAGTTCGTAATTCATCATTCTGGATAGTCTATCTAATCATTTTGTGAAGTCAGCTTTGCTTATGATGAATAGGGATATAACCGCTCCGCTTTCCTATGGCAATGTTAGGTGCTCCATACTCTTTACTTATTATGCTGTAATAACATATTGTGGTGGTTTGAAAGAAAATGGCCCCCAAAGGGAGTGGCACTCTTAAGAGTTGCGGCCTTGTTGGAGGAAGTATGTCACTGTGGGGGTCGGTTTTGAGGTCTTTTCCTCAAGCTTCACTCATTGTGACAGTCAGTTGACTTCCTGTTGCTTGCAAGATATAGGACTGTCAGCTGCTCCACCACCACGTCTGCCTGAGTGTCACCATCCTCCGTCATGATGATAATGGACTGAAACCCAGAAACTGTAGATGAGCCACCCCAATTCAATGTTTTCCTTATAAGAGTTGTCATTGTCATAGTGTCTCTTCACAGCAATAGAAACCCTAAGACACATATACTTAAGCTTTGTGTTTTTCATGTGTGTGTACACTTGTGTTTGAAGTTACACATGCTTGGGTGTGACCATGTGCGCATGTATGTGGAGACCAGAGGTCAAAGTTGATCAGGGGTCAAACTTTTTAAGTTGCTCTCTACCTTATTTTTGAGACAGGGTCTTTCACTGCAACCTTGAACTTCCTGGCTTAACTTAACTCACTGGCCAGCAAATTCCATATATGTGTTTCTGTATCCACCTCCCCAGTACTGGAATTATAGGGATTTACACCACTTTCTTTTTTCTTTTCTTGGTTTTTTCGAGACAGGGTTTCTCTGTGTAGATTTGGAGCCTGTCTTGGAACTTACTCTGTAAACCAGGCTGGCCTTGAACTCACGAGATCCGCCTGTCTCTGCCTCCCAAATGCTGGGATTAAAGGTGTGTGTCACCACCAACTGGCTTGTTTTTCTTTTTTGTGTGGATCCTGGGAATTGAACTCAGGTCCTCCTACTTTTGTGGCAAGGAGTTTACCAAGTCATCTCCCCAACCCAACTTTTGTGTTTTTATTCAAATTTAGTTTTGATCCTGACTTGGAATCTCTTCACATCTGCTCTGGCCACCACCACCATCATCATCATCTTCTTCTTCTTCTTCCTTCTTCCTTCTTTTTCTTCTCCTTTTTCTTGTTTTCCTCCTCCTCCTCCTCCTCTCCTCCTCCTCCTTCTTTGTTTCTTATTTCCTGCTTTCCTTTGTCTTAATATTTGTGTGTATATGGGATGGGGTAGTGTGTATACTCTGTGCTGTGCTGACTCCATGGCCTCTGCATCAATTCCTGTCTCTAGGTTCCTACCCTGACTTCCCTGTTACCTAGAAGTATAAGTGAAATAAACCCTTTCCTCCCCAAGTTGCCATTTGGTCATGGTGTTTTATCACACCAATAGTGACCCAAACTAGGAAGCTCACAAAATCTTTTGTTGTTGTTGTCTTGATACAAGATCTCTCTATGTATCTCTGGCTGCCCTAGAGTTTGTTATGTAGACCAGGCTGGTCTTGAACTCAAAGATATCCACCTGCCTGGGCCTCCTGAGCACTGGGATTAAAGGCGTGGGTGTCCACATGGTATATATTTCTCTCTTTGAGTGTGTGTGTGGTGCTAGGAGTTGAACTTGGAGCCTTAGATGTGCATACTAAGTAAGTACTCCAGATTTCAATTATTCTTTCTTGTAGTGATCTTTTAAAAAATGCTTTTTGTTACTTTTAATTGATGTATATGGGTGTTTTGCCTGCAGAACAAGTGTGTATCACTATAGAGGCCAGAAGAGAGTGTTAAATACCCTGGCACTGGAGTTACAGACTGTTGTGGCAATCAAGCCTAGGTTCTCTGGAAGAGCAACCAGTGCTCTTAACTGCTGAGCCATCTCTCCAGCCCCTCTTGTCCTGCTTTTAACCAGCTAGCCATCCCGCTAAGTATAATCTTTTCAGTTTCAGAATGTGCACTTAGGTTGTTTAAATTTAACTAGGCATAGTGTTGCACAACTGTAGTTCCACACTTGGGAGGGCTGAGGCAGGAGAATTGTGAGTTCCAGGCCTGGACTACAAAGTAAGACACTGCTGTCTCAAGAAAATAAAAAACAAACATCAACAATAAAACACAACAAGAAACCAAAAAGAAAAACAACCAAAAAGCAAAAACAACCCAGCCCAACCAAACAAACAAAAACAACCAAAAAAGAACAATTTTTAACCCCTGAAAATTTGCTTCTTTTTCCTTTGTTGCCAATACTATGATTTATTGTCACATAATAAATACATATAAAGCCATTGTTAATTCTCATATTGCAATCATATAGATTGCATTTTTTTATATCTTTTGTTTGTTTGTTTTTCGAGACAGGGTTTCTCTGTGTAGCCCTGACTGTCCTAGAACTCACTCTGTAGACCAGGTTGGCCTTGAACTCACAGAGATCTGCCTGCCTCTGCCTCCCCAGTGCTGGGATAAAAACATGCACTGCCACTGCCAGGCCTTCCTTTACATCTTATGCTAGATCCAGAACTGAAGTGACTGGAGTCAATAGTTTTCCCAGAGAGGGCAAGGCTTTTTCTCTCTAGTCAACTAGGATACGAGCAGTTGTGTGACTTTTCCTGGGGGAGATGAACAAAATCAATTCATATCAGGGAGGGGTTATCCACAGACAGAAGAAGCGACTGCACCTGAGTCTAGCCCATGAGCAAATGACCACACTCGAGTCTAGCGGAGGAGCAAATGACTGCACCCAAATCTAGCCAAGGAGCAAATGACTGCACCCGAGTCTAGCCGAGGAGCACATGTTCATTTGGCTTACTCACAGGAACACAGCAACGTCACTGAAACAAACCAATCCCAAAAGCTGCATCTCTGGAGCTGCCTACCCGAGCTGGAGGTAGAAGCTTGGGGAAAGGCCTCGTGAATCTTCTTACTTTTCTGAGCTTCCTCGGTTCACGTTTGGTTAGCTTTGGGAATCTTAAGTCTCCTCTCTTTCCAGAGGAAGTAGTTACTACAACAGTTCAGTTGGGAGTTGAACTGAGCAGGGGGTGGCAGCAGATGGTGATACATGCCTGTAACCCTCCTTTGGAGACAGGAAGCTTGAGGCCTTTGCTAGCCTGGGTTCCACAGTGAGGCTACCTAAAATGGAAAAGTGAAATGTGGATGAGCAGGAGGCTGAAAAGACGGCTCAGCAGCTAAGCACACTTGCTTTTGCAGAGGATCCAGCTTCGGTTCACAGCACCCATATGATGGCTAACATTCTGTAAGTCCAGTTTCCGGCGATCACAGCACCCATATGATGGCTAACATTCTGTAACTCCGGTTCCTGGGGATTACAACACCCATATGATGGCTAACATTCTGTAACCCCAGTTTCTGGGGGATCTGATGCCCTCTTCTGACTTCAGAGCCACTGGGCGTGCATGTGCCAAACAGACATGTATGCAGACGAAACACTCATGCACACCTAAAACTTTTTAAGTCTTAAAAAAAAACAGACTGTGTAAAAGGAACTAGTTTCAACTTTAAAGACTGTGTCTTAACTCAAGGGGTTAAAACATGGGATATTTCTTCTGTCCTATGTTTGGTTTTTTAAAAAATAAATGTTTTGCCCCCAACTCCAAGCATTCCAATTCCTTTCTTGTTGTGTGCTACATTAACTGCAAATTTCAATTGCCAGTTGAGTAATTCTGTTTGGTGTTTTCTTGTTCCTATGTGGCAGACACCCATGGCTTTCTCATTCACCCCGTCTGGGCCTCCAGTGTGGTATAATTATCCTGAAAAGCCAAGATGTGTGAGAGCTTAGCTTGATTACTCTAATGGCACACAGTGTTTTCACAAACCTCTCAATTCCTGAATAATTATCATTATCATATTTACGTGTTTAGCTAAAAGCTTAATTGGAAGATTCCAGAATGAAACAATACTACACAAGGAAAAAGAAACTTACAGTCATTTTTCTTTGAAAGTTTTTTTTCCATTTTCCCCCCACTAATACAT